TCGCATTGGGTGCCTCATTAGTAGCACAAGTGTAGTTCGAAATCTTTAAATGTAGATCTTTCTCTACTTTTTTTAAAATAAAGTTTCAACTATAGCATTTACAACAAAAAAAAAAAGATTAGATATAGACTTTAAAATATGTATAGTTATATATAAAATTAGATACTAAGAAATTTTACTTAATATATTTATATATTGTATTATTAGTAAAATTTTAAGATATTAATGAATTTTGATTTTTTATTATACTGGATATTATATTTACTGGGTACAAATAGAAATTTTAATTTTTTTATATATAACTTTATAGATATATGTAAAGTGATTTTAAAAGCTTAAATATTCTATTATATATTAAATTGCTAAAACATATAATGGTTTTTAAATACATTAGTTTTGAGAGTTATATAATTAATTTTAATTAGATAATTTGTATATAATTAATTTTAATTAGACAAAAATATATACAAATAACTTTTTTATATAGTAATTTCCAAATTTTTGATTATATATAAACTTTAAATTATAACTATTTTTTAATTTTATAATATAATAAAAATAAATTTTTACAAAAATATAGCTTAGATTAAAAGTAACAAATTTGTAAAACAGAGGTGTGATGACTTAGTGTAGTTGGTAAGTTGTCGCATCCTAAGCAGCAGAACAAAAGCTTGAATTCTACTGTCAATAAAATAAGAATTTACAGAATGCATTTAGAAGACTATATCCTATTGGGTCAGCATCTGTAATAAGGTTGCACCAGTATTGTTATAATGGGAAGCAGTAGAAAGACTGTGTAATGCATGAGTTGCATAACAGTGAAGCTGCCGGGTAAAACCAGCAAATTGGAATATGGAAGCCTGCTTGGCAAGACCTAAATAGAGAGGTAGCACAGATCTTTGATAGTATTACATAATAATTTGAAAAGTAGAACTAAATAGCAGAAAAAGGGGAAGCAGAATGGCAGGAAAAGGAGGAGCCAGATGGAACTGAAGTGTTTGGCAAGGCACTCAACCAATCAGGCCACCAGCCAAGTAACTGGAAGAAAAGGACCCAACCATGGGTACCAGAAGCAGGTCACAGCCCTTCCAGACTATTTGGATTAGAAGTTTGGTAAAATAGAAGTAAGGCTTAGTTCAGGAAACTAAAAGTAGGGCTTAACTTAAGAAACTGGAAATATGGGTTGTTAAGTGTGTACCAGAATTTGGGTGAACTCTATAAGAGCAAGAGTAGATAATAGTAGTGGTTTTGGTTCGCAAGTACTTGTTCTTAGACTTGGTATAAGTTATTAAAAAATCTAAGCTAGCTGGATTGTGGGTATAGAAAGCTATAGTAAGTTTACCTCAAGGGTAATTAGCTGGTTGGTGTCCTAGATGGATTGCTACTCTGTATGGAATTGAAGCTTCATGAGGACATAGTGGCACAGAGGGTTTAAATAGATAATCTCATAGTTAAGGTGCATATATGGCATCTAGTGTAGAAACCTTTGAGCAGACTACTTAAATAAGCAACCAAAAGTTGCACATGTGGCTAGTTGTAATATACAAAATCAATGTATCAAATGAGTAGTGGCTGGCTCAGAGCAGCTTAGCATATAAACAATAAAAGCTTCCGATCAAGAGGTCACTTTGAAATTTAAAAAAAACACAAATTTGTAAAACAAATTTTTTTAAAGTTAACAAAGTTTTGAATTATAATGAATTTCATATTTTATTGCTTGAAGTATAGCAACAGAAAATTAAATTTATATATTAAGTTATATAAAAGTTATATTTTTGATGCATTTTAATCAGTGTTGTTATGGGACAGTTGTGGACAGTAAGTTTGGATACTTTAAACAATTTTAGACAATTAAATAAATTAAAATTACTCAAAATTTTATTAAGATAACCTATATCATTTTCTAAATAAAATATGTTCAGTATAGTATAAATATACAATTATATATTTTTTAAACAAATTTATTAATTTTTAAAGCTTAAACATGCTTTGGACATTTGTGAATACTTGGATACCCGGACATTAGACAGTAAAAAAAAAAACCTTTAGATAGACAAAACATAAAACACTGATTTTAACTATTAAATAATTTCCTTTTAATGCATTAGCATAATTATTATAATTAAAATGTTAATAATATAACTTTGAAATTTTTGTTTGTTTATTTGTATAATACATAATTACAAAACTATTTAGAAAACAACAATTGATTAATAATACAATCAAAAATAAGATTAACAGTATTAATGCTTCATTCTTATATCAGTTATCAATTCTGAGCATATAAATATTAAATTTTTTTTATATAGTATTATATAAATACAAATAGAATATAAAGATTTTAGTAAATTTTATAATCTTAAATACAAAGTTTATAATAAATATAAAATTATAATAAGTTTGATAGCTAATTATATAAAAATTAATTACAAACTGGTTATTTAGTAAAAATTATAAAAAACATTCCACAAAATAAATAAGCAATATAAAAAATAAGCTTTAATAATAATTAGTATTCATTAATTTTTTAATAAAAGAGTTACAGAGTTTACATAGGTTGTCTATATATTCTATAAAATATCTAATTAAAAAATATTAAATTGACTAACAAACAATGCTAATATAAAATATAAAATATTATTGAAATATTTCAGAATAAACAATATTTTTTGTACATCTATCAATTTCAGATTTACCAAGATATATTTGTAATCTTTGGCGAGAAGTTACTCTCGAACATACAACATATAACTGTCCATGAGAAAAGACAGGAGATGGAAGATACAAACCAACACGATTCATTGTTTGTCCTTGAGATTTATTGATAGACATAGCAAATGCAAGTTTACATGGAAATTGCCTGTGCTGAAGTACAATTGGAAGAGATGTATTTGTAGAAGACAAAGAAATATGGGGTAAAAATATACATTTACCAGTTAAAGGACCATTGATAGGTTCTGCTTCAATAACATGATCCTGAAGAGTTTTACAAATGAACTGAGTTCCATTACATAAACCATCAGCTATATTAATATTACGCAATAATATTATAGGAGCATTAACTTTAAGTATTAATTTATGTGAAGGTAATCCACTAAAATTTAACGAATTTAAAAATTCTGCAGAATATAAACTTTCATGTACTGTATTATATGTTTCAGAATTTTTATCCAATGTATCTGCACTGTAGTAAGTCTTTTCATTATTAGAAAATTGGGAAAGAATTTTAATATTAAGCATATCAACATCATTATTAAGAGGTGCAAGAATGCCCCTTTCAGTAAAATATGTAGGATTACAAATATTAGCTCATAAGTTAGGATACACAAATTCTATTAAATCTTGAATAGTTTCTGATTTGATAATAAGATCAGAGGGTAAACGTATAAAACTACTACCAGGTTGAACTTCAGGAATAAGCCCTTCACCAACCTGAAGTAGCCAATTAGCAAATTCTGATTGAGCTGCTAAGTCTAAGATATTAGATGATACCTGTAATCGCATATTAATTGTTAGTTTTCTTATTTTTATATATGGCCACAAATAAGATCGACATAAACAGGCATTAATAATATCTTCTCTTCTACCCTTTGGAACAATTGGAAGAATTTGTCTAAAATCACTACCAAAGACAATAGTTTTTCCACCAAAAGGTATATATTCTAATCTTGGATCAACTATATGCATTATATTACGAAATGTTCGATCAACAGCTTCAAACCCATGTCGATGTAACATAGGTGCCTCATCCCAAATTATTAAAACAGTTTGTTTTAAAAGATTAGCTAAATCTGTACGCAGAGATATATTACACGTTGAATCTTCATTTAATTGAATAGGAATTTTAAAGCGAGAATGTGCTGTTCTGCCACCATCAAGTAACAATGAAGCAATTCCAGATGAAGCAACAGCAAGTGCAATTTTTTTTTCAGAATGGATTTTGGCTAACAAATTTTTATAAAGAAATGTTTTTCCAGAACCAGCAGGTCCATCAACAAAGATATATACAGGAGTATTTTGTCCAATTGCTTTTATTACTTCATTATATATATTTTGTTGGTCTTTATTAAGACATGAAAGATTTTGATCAAGAAAATTGCAAGGCATAGCTTGATTATAATTTAATTCTTTATTAAGCAAACAATTAGCAAAATGATATACAGTAGTAGGAATTGGCATATTAGAAAAATCTTTTAATAATTTGCCTTGTTGCATAAGAATATCTTCTAATTCATGCAAAGCATATGATTCAACTTCTTGTTGTGTTAATTGAATATTTTGATTACATAATACACGACGCAGTTTATACAAAATATTATCACTTAAATTATGTTTATACTTATTCCAAAGATGTTCAGGATGTGTTGAATAACAATTTAACAAAATTGTTGCAAATAATTGTCTTAACTGAGAACCTGATTTTATTTCTGATGCTTCTTTTAAACATTGATCCCATTCTAAATCATTTTGTAAAAGACCTAATGCCTGACATGCATCCTTGAAAGTTGGATAAAGAATATTATTAACTGTACGTAAATGCTTAAAAGATTGTGCACCACATATAACATTAAGTAACATACACAGATAGTATCGTTTACCTGCACCTGGATGTACAAAATACATTCGACCAATTGTATGCCCACTAATACGTTTATTCCATTTTTTTGTACAATTATTAAAAACAAACTTGTGAGGAAATTGAGTATAAGTTAAGCTTTTTGCTATTTGGTAAATATTTTGATCACAATTAGCATCAAACCATGCTGTTAAAGTAGATTTTTGGTTTTGTGCTCGTCGAGCAACATTGACCAAAGATTCATTATCAGTAAAAGTAACTAAATGTTGATCAGGAAGATGAACAACTAAACATATAACATCAGGAGCTTCATCATGCATTTTATAATGCATAATATGCCAAATAGACTCATGTGCTGATACATAACGTGCATCGATATATTGACGAATCTCATCCACAGTATTATCATTATTAAGTGCTATTGTTGCACGATCATGACCCTTGTATAAATATTTAAATAAATATTTAATAGCATGTATTGAAGAACAAATTTCAACATTAACATGACAGTTAAATTTTTTACAGAGATATAAATTATGAGGTACAACCCATCAATTATATGAGGTACAACCCATTGATTATCAAGATCAACTCCTTTAACTTTAACAGTTTGACCATTTTGATATCATTGATATATAGGATAACCATCTTCATTTTGACTGGTTACTGCTTGAAAAGGCTTTGGATAACCTTTTGAACATTTGCCATCTTGCATGCAAGGTGCATATATATTATAATTTCCACATGGTCCATGCATCATACATTGTATTACAGTTGCATACTCATGTGGAAGATTAGTAGGATCTGGGATTTCTGCTGATATAATACGATCATAATCTTCTGTTGTATGTGGTTTGCAATCAGGTGATAATATAATTAATATGTGTGCATGTAAAAGACCACATTTTTGGGATTCAATAACATAAATATAAGCAAGAGTTTTACCAAAAATACTATTTTTAATAATATCTTTAAGAAGAGCTTTTAATTTTAATCTAAATACGCGAGCACAAATATCTAGGCGATCTTGAGAAGTTTGTTCTGATAATAAAGATAACTGAATTTCTGACCAGTTTGAATTGCACGTCATTGTAATAAATAAATCTGGCTTGCCCATCTGTCCAACAATAGCCATTGCATCTTGATATAATTGTTGCATGTGGCGAGAACCACCAACAAAACTGGAAGGAAGTACAATTCGATGACCAATTTGAGATCCAGTTTGGGGTATTTCGTCATAAACAGAAAGTACATCCTGTAGCCCACTATATAACTCAGCACAGATCTTTTTTTGATTATGCTTTAAGTAATTAAGACGATTTTGTTCAATACATGCATATGCATCAACTATATATTGTTGAAACAGACGCCCACTTCTATGTAATGCAAATGATTCTGTTGGACTATACTGTCTTAATTGCAAACGATAAGCATAATATTGCATCATCGTAATATAACGATCTTCAGTATTTGAATTGATATTTCTTTGACAACCTATATTATTTGTAAGAATATAAGGATGCCAACCTGAATCTCCATATAGAAAAAGTAATATATAATGTAATAGAATATAAGAAGGATGTATTTGTGAAATTTGCTGTAAATTACCATTCTGTCTATAAAGTACAATATCTCTATTTGATGGTTCAGCTTCTTGACCATCACCTACCATAAGAACAGCTATTTCTGAAGCAGTAGGAATTGAATACCTTTGTTCATTATGTGCTTTAATAATAACTAACTTTAGATTTGAAACAGGATTTTCATATAGAATATATGCAATTTGTCAAAAAATAGGAACATATGGATTAATATTATGTAGCATTTCCTGAAGCTGTTCAAGAATTGAATGATCTAAATTAGGTATTAAGCATTGTCTGTAAGTTAATTGTTCTTCAGTATCACAAATATAAATTTGAGAAAAAGCAGGTGCGATATTATTATCTGGTAAGAGTGAACCTATTTGATGATACATTTCACCATGAATTCGAAAACTATAAATTCCTTGTGTGCCAACTATATTTTGATCAAGTTTGGCACCCATTGATGTAAATGCTAACAATGAGTTATATTTACGAATATTTTTTCGAAAAATACGGGATCTGCTATCTTCTCCAATAAGCAATGAAAGCAGAGGTTCTGGTGGTTGATTAATAGGTGGCAATTTTATTTTTCCATTGGCACAACAGGTACTAAAAGTTGGTGCAAGTATACTACCAGCTACTCTTTCTTCTAACCAATGAAGTGCACCACATTGCAAACATTTAACCTCCATTGATCCAAGTTGGTGACAGATAACAGAATTAGTATCATATATCTGCATACGTGCAGCATTATATCCATATGCTTGTTTAATATTATGTATATATGCTGAACGTCGAGCTCTACGTCGGTGGTCTGCTTGCTCATTTGATTCAGCCTCAGTACGAAGTCTATAAGCTTCACGTTGTCTAGCACGTTGATTCTCAAGTTGTTCAGCTGTAAATAATAATTTTTGACGTGCATAAGCTTCTCTAGCAAGACGATTTCGACGTTCCCTTGGTGTTTCTGAAGATTGTGCAATATCCATCTAAGATAAATATAGTACTAAATAGAAAAACAAATATTTTTTAGAAAAAAGGAGCATATATATATATAATCAGAAATCAACCATTATTATTTTTAACAGTTGCAAAAAAATTAATGATCTACAAAAATTCATTATAATATCAAGAATTTTAAGAAATAATATTTTCTCTATAATTGAAACATACTTTTACTCTTTTGTCGAAGACCTAACCACAGAAACTCAAATAATGAATAAATAAGTATTATCTGTCAGATTATAATGATCGGGCTGCTAAATAACTCAAGTTATTTTGCAAAAAAAGTTTATTTTTATTATTTTGCAAAAATTGATAGTTTATTTTGGCTATTTGGTAGAAATAGATAGTTTATTTTGGTTATTTAGCAGAAATTGATAGTTTATTTTGTTTATTCAGCAAAAATTGATCCGTACTTACATATGTAGCTTGTTTCAACTATTGGGCACGTACGCTTTATTTACTGTAAATACCTATACTACTGTATAATGTACTTTGCATATATACTTTTTAAATAAATTTTTATAATAAATTAAAAAAGAAATGTATTAATTTTCAAATAAACAATGTATCGACCTTATTTCATTTTCAGATAAATTTGTAATAATGATTTTTTTTGTTGAGATTTTATTTATTTCATTAAATGGGAATTCCTAAACGCTCCCATTTCATTTTCTGTTTTCAAAATTTTGATACATAAATAAGATTTGTCAAATCACATTATTTTCGAAATAAGCCATTTTGCTTTTTAATACTAAAGTTCCTTAATTTTAAAAGTCTTTAACTAAACAAAGCATCATATAGATTTTCACCTTTTAAAATTCTCTAGAAAGGACAAAGCTTGAAGCAGTTCTTTACAACTGGATAAGTTGAAACAACTTAGTGAAGTTCCTTCAATGTTTTGTAATAAAAACTTTTACACTATCGCTTGTCTACACGATCCGACCTTAACCGTACTATCTTTTTATTTACTGTCATATACGTATTTTTAATTTAAAATGTTTTTTCCACACTCTCCAAGTTATGCCTGATCGTCGTAAATTAGCGGATAATACCGTTATTAGACACTACGCAACAAAAACTGTCCTAACTGAGCCAGAATCTGACAGGTCGATGTCTAGGCCCCTGCGAAGCCCAGCCACCACCTGGCCAAATTCTGGCCCAGATACTTTTTGTTATTTGTCAATCATATTGTGATCACGCA